AAAAAAAAAAAAAAAAAACAAAAAACACGGAAAAGAAAACACAACCACAAAAAAAGTACATTCTGGAAGCACCCTTGCTGCTTTTTAAGAACCATTTCCAAAACTCCCTATGCACTGTACGTGATCACGCACGTATGTCTTAAAAAGAGAGGTAAGTATCTTCTCTCAAACCCTGGAAACAAAGCCACAAATTCTACTGATTCACTACTAAAGAAAGTTTCAAACACAAATCTTTCCAAAGAAATGCTACATTTACCTAATGCAAATGCTATACAGCAGAAACTTGCTGCATATTTACATGTGCAGTATTTTAAACCCTTTAACTCAATAATAAAATGGTGAATACTCAACAACAATTCCAAGACCATCTCTGCTGTACAATAAACCTCTTCACTAAGTTTTCAAAATCCATTTTTATAAGTCAAACACATCAACACTATAATTAAGACAGTACTAAGTGGACACTTTTATCTTAAGATAGGAGCATATATACAGTTTACTTCCTGCTGGAATGAACTTTGGCTTTCCTGTCTTCTCCTGCTGCGCCTCCTCCTCCCCACCAAGCAAAAGAATCCCCTTTCCTTTTCCTAGACCCACTTCCCACACACTGCAAAAAAACTCCTCCCTGTGAAGTGATGACCTCATGCTGCTAGCCCATCTCCTTCTATGGAGCAACTCCGGGCTCGACGCCAGCTCCCTCCGCCTTCAGGCTGACACGGCAACATACCTTCCCTCACCCGCTGCTTCCCAGATGCAAGAAGATGGAGAAGCAGCAGCGAGCGGAGGGGGGAATCCGGGCAGAGAGAAGGGGGTCTCCCCATGGACAACGCGAGACGACCGCCAGACGCTTGCACCAGACTCCTGCCTAGCATAAACCTACTTCCTATCACTAAAGCACCTTTCCTCTCCACCGCACGAAGAACTGAACTCTGAACATTTTTAAGTATGGAAATACAGACTATGTTACCTAACCGCCGTGCAACCCCAACGTAGCTTAATCTTGCTTCCTTGTGTTAAACCTCTCTATTCCAGTGAAGCACATTACCTCTCCCACTGTCTTAATGAAGACGTGTCTTAATTCCCTTTGTATCATTCTACTATAAAATCCTTCCGGCCCTCTCTTCAGCCTGTCTTTACTTTCGAGTGCCTCCTCAGAATGACTTCCTCATCACCACTTTAAACACTGGCAATCCAAATACCAACCAAAGAAGAACCTTCCCTTGAAAGATTCAGTTGTGACATGAAGTTACAGTTGTAGGAAAGCAGGAAAAGATCTTGGTGATGGTTAAAAGAGCTTTTACTCAGTTAAAAAGTGACCTTGTACATATAAGACTTGATCTTCTCCTTCAAAGAGATATCCCCAAGATCAACTATTCTGGGGTTAACATTCTACTGACAATTTGCTTCAACACATTAAAAAGGAAATTGTAAAAGAAGAGAACATACATTTGTATCACCAACAATAATCATTACTCTAACTCAACCTCATATATCCAATTTGCTTTGACTGTGAGTGGATCAGAAGAATGAACGTTCCACCTCCTTGAATCTTCCAAAGACTAGCACATACATGTAATAAACTGTATCAGTCATCTCTTTATTGCATACTATGTAGTAGGTACAATTAACTGAAAATAATACCCAGTTAATTCTTTTGGTCAAAAAGTTTCTGATGTCACCTAGCTTTTTCTTACACTGCAACTTGTTAAAAGAAGCTGCATTAAAACACAGCAGAGCATCAAAGTCACTTTGTGCACATCCATTTACAAAGTGGGGAAAAGTTATGTCAACCACTTGGAAAGCACTGCTGCCTTCTTGCAAACACAAGGCAAGTTGGCGTGTTTAAAAGCAGAACCAAACCCTAGGTGTTCAATAGGATGTGTACTTCCAAGGGTGCATGCTCATGTAAACTCGAACAAAATAGAAACACACTCCAACATGAAAAGGGATGTTAAATGCCCTTATATATATTTGCCCTCCAATACCAAATTTGCGAGCATTTAGGATCCCCGCAGATACCAAACTCACAAAGCATAAAAACACAACTGAAAAAGGCCGGGGCAGTAGCACTAAGAAGGCCCTGTCTATGCAGGCTCTAAATATAACGTGTAAATCAAAAATGTCGCTAAACCGTGTAGCATTGTCACAGGGGCGGGATGGGGGACCCCAACACCCGGGGGCCGCATTTATTGGGGCGGGTTAGGGGGTGTCACACATCACAAAGTTTCCAGCGGCGGCCGGCGCATCCTCCCGTTCTCCATGGCGCAGCGGGGCACCGGCAGGGACCAGGCACGCCGGGCACCGGCGGGGAGAGGCGCCGCAGGCCCCAGCCCGAGTCAGCCCTTCTCCTCCCTCCGCCCCCGCGCCCCACGCAGGGCCCCGCGCCCCCGGCCCGCCAGCAGCCCCGGGGGCGGGGATCCCCTCTCGCCGCCCTGCCTGCCCCGCCGGGGCGGAGCCGCCGCCGGCCGAGAGGCGCCCCTGACGTCTCCCCGTCAGGGAGAGACCGGATGCCGATGCCGCCGCCGCCGCCGCTGCCGCCCCCTCAGAGGAAAGCGCGAGCGCCGCCGGTGCCCGCCCCGCCCCGCCCCGCCCTGCCCTGCCGCAGGTAAATCCCGACGCGGGGCCTACCCGCCCCCCTGCACCGGCTGCCCACTGGGCGGGCGGAACACGGCAAGGGAGGGGAGGGCGGCCGCCCCCCGGCCCCGGGGCCGCTCCCGAGGCGCGGGCACCAGCGGAGGCGGCGGCGCCGCGCACGGCACCTTCCTACCTGACAAGCCGAGCCCCTCCGCCACCGCGGGCGTCACGGCCCCACCAGCGGCACGTGACCAGCGCGGGCCAATCAGCGCCGGGCTCCCCCCTCTCCCGCCCAGCCAATCCGGGCGCTCCCCGCCTCTTCGGGTGACGCGCCGCCGCTGGCGGCCAGTCAGCAAGGGAAGATGGGCCACCGCTGCCGCCCCGCGGCGAGGAAGGAGGCCGCGATTGGGTGGGAGCCGTGGCGCTCCGGGGAGGAGGGCGGGGCTGCCCCGCCCCGCCCCGCCCCCGGCGCGCCGTGCGTCCGTTTCCTAGCAACCATTTTCCTCACAACGTCCTGTTCTAAAAGACACGCCCTGAAATGCCTTGGGTTTGGGGAGAATGGGCACAGGAGCTTAGATTCAAGGTTTAATATCGGGCAAGGCACATTTGTGTAATTGCGGCACTGCGGTACAATGTACACCGGGTTTTAAAGTATTTGTGTCATTTCTGTGCCGTTTATTACTTGATCAAAGAAATGCAAAAGACTAAAACATGGCAAATCCATAGAAAATAAGTCCCGGGCATCACAGTTTATGGAGAGACAGACGAGGAGTCTGGTGTTTTGTTAGCTCGCCAACACAGCGTCAGGAAGAGGTAACAAGCAGCACAAAAGAAGAAAAGATGAAAAAAGGAACATCAGATAAAGAAAGAAAAAAGAAAACAAGAAAAAAAAAAGCGGGGGGGAGCTGTTATTGTGACACTAACTTCACAGGTTTAGGGAAAATTTGTGGATATTAAAGTGTTGTATATTGCTTTATGTGTGAGCCGATGCAGACAGGACACAGGAACAACCACAAAACCACGGATTAAGGGCAAAGAACAATTTAATGTCAATACCTCAATACTGGAATGGGGAACCTCTGAAGCAGCACCCAGGCAGGGGCAGGCAAGCAGGGGACGCAGGCACCATAGAACGAGAGTTCTAATTAGCAAGAGAGTCCTCGTTAGCAAGGGAGTGGGGGAGCGAGGGAGCTCCCACTTGCTGTTTGGGGCTGTATTTCAAGGATTCAGGCAGGCAGAGCTTTCCACTGTGCTTTGATCTCTTCATCAGCAGGGCAGGAATCTCAGGCGTGTTTGATAAGGTGCCCTGAGTCCCTCCCAGGCCTATGTTATCCAAGTGCAGATGTTCTACTTGTTGAGCACACAAAACTAAGCAACATTTAGTGTAATATATGCGTTTTCCAGCACCCCACATGCGAGTCACTTGAGCGTGTTTACAGTCCTCCTCGCCAATCTTCCGTTACTTTCCCACCCTTTTGCAACAGATTGTGTTTAAAACAAATGAAAAATTAATTTTAATTAAGTGGCAATAACAAAGTCTGATACCACAATGCATTTCACGCATGCAGAAGAACATAAGAACTCCATAGCGGGTTAGATTAGAGTTACAGACAAATATCCTTTCTCAAGGGGTTGCCAGTTGCTGGCATTTAGGAAGGAGTCTAAAAAACAGGATGTGCGCAGAGCAATCATATTCCAATCCACAGCTTCTTAAGCCAGAATTTTCTTTTAAACCAGACTGTTTAAAAAGCACTGGTGAAACTTTGCTGGGTGCAGTTTTTTATCCCTGTTTAAGCCATTTATGCCTTTTTCTTCCAAAACATCATATAGAAATAATTTCCTCTATTTACCTGTTTATTGAATGAGAAAGAATTACTTTTTTCTGTACCTCATCCATATGTAACTCAAGGCAAGTTGAGACCTATATACAATTAGAAGTAAGTTTGCATAATACTCATGCACAACAGAGAGAAAACTCAAAAGCTTTTTAATTGGGGTAGAAAATGGGGTTTTAAGATGTAATTTACATTTGGATACTTTTCAACAATGTGGTATTTGGGGTTAAAATATTAATTTAGATGTAAATACTGAATTCAGTGTAAGAAATCATCAATGGCAAGGTTTTATGGAAAATGCAAGTGCACTGATTCAGTCTTGATTCAACTATATTCAAACATAGCCTATTTAACTGGGCAGATATCTTGTCAGTCAAGCTGCTCACATGCCTGAAGAAGATCTTTTATGATTATGTCTACGGTATGGTAATCTAGCTGGCATTGAGGCCCTTGAACATGATGAAAACTGGTAGACAGTGGTATGAGGGTAGAAAAATCTCTCCTCATTAGTTTTCTGATTAGAAATTTTTAAACTTTGCTGAAGAATCTGTTTGACTTCTGAAGAATAGATTCCTTGTTCTTTTGTATAGTAAGTTTTTTTCCAAATCTTTCAGAAACTTGTTAAATAAAGATGAGAAAAGTTGGTCTGTACTGTAGTCACTGCAGTGCAAACTATTCTTAAATCAAATTGTTAATTTTATTTAGAAAGTGCAATTATTAATTGAATATGAAAAGCTTTAAAAGTATATTAGCACTTGCAACCGAAAGCCAATTTAACAACTTTATTTGTACCAGGCTGCAGATGCTAATACTTTTCTCTCTTCCCTATCCCAGTCTTCTGGTTCTGCACACATTCCTCCACTCAGCCTCATACGTGATTTCCTCTGCCTGACCCAGGGCACACCGTCTAACTCCAGAAGTGGAAAAGCCGAGTCCTAAAAGTACCCAAAGGAGACAAAAAGGATCAAGAAAATTAATGTGGTTTTGCTCCAGTACATTCTGCCAATCCATGGACATGTTTTCTTCCAGCCTCTCCTTTTTGCTCCTACATGTTAAATCCTACACATTAAATCTACAGCTTCATGCTAAACCAAAGCTAATCAACATCACTACTTTAAACCTGCTGGTTTGGACAACAATGGTGTTGAATCATTGTCTCAGATCTTATTGCAAAATTGCCTCTCCAGAAACTCGGCAAGCACCTGGACACATGCCGAGTTCTGTGGTACGACACCTCAACACCTACCAGGCAAAGCGTTTTATGCCTCAACCAGCTGAAGCTATAGCAGCTGTCTAGTAAAAATACCCCAAAAAATCAGTTTAGTGTCCTGGGTCTGTCTTCTCATGTGACTCATGTCTTGTAAGCTGGTATTTCAATTTCTGCTGGGTTCCCAACTACCAGAGAATTTTCAGTCTTTCTATCATTTTCTATGTGCCACCACTGGGACCCTAGAAATAGCAGAGGGTTTGCTCCTTAAATAGCAAAACTCTTGTCTAGTTCAGTTAAGCTCTAGGTTTCAAGAATCGTTTTCTTTTTGTTCTTCTGTTTGCTGCAACTCTTCTTCTACACTGCCAGTCTATAATTTTGTTAGGACATTTTCCTAATTTTGAATGCTTCTTTTCTACCCTTATCTGATTTCTTTGCTTATGGCTCATTGCCTAAAATTCCTGGATGTGACATGCAAGTTATCTGCTCCATGCTGCTGATACTCATGTTGAAAAACCTTAACATTATTCTTAGGGGACAAATACTGTAGCATTATATTACTTCAAGAATGATAACAACTTTAAATTAAATTACACGCCTGGAGGGGAAATATAAATGTAAGAAAGAGAGAGACGAAAAGTTCCTCATTATCACTCCTTCAAAATGCTAGAGTAAAACGGATTGCAAAATCCAACATAAAAAAAATCTCCTGGATATACTAGAGAATTCTATTATACACAAGTCAGTAATACAGAGAAGTTATTATAGAGGTATACTCAGAATAAAAGATTGCAAGGAGATGTCTATGAGGGATAAAAATAACAAATTGAGAAAAAAGTCCCCAGTAATCTCAGGCTTTTGACCAACAATATGTTTCTTTGATTCTTAACATGGGTATATTAATTCCTTCCTGTTGAGTCAGATTTGCTGCAGTTCTTTGATGAGTTAGGCATGAATATCTTTTTCTGAACTATTGTACATCTTTGGGAAAAAATGCAGTGTACCATTTTACTCATTCTTTTCCTATTTACTATCACTACTATTGTAAAGAAATAGTGTAAAGACACTAAAAAGTCTAAATAACTACACAAACTCAGTATTAAAACACTGGAGGTTTTGTGTCAGAAACAGAATACTGTTACTACCGCTATTATGAAAATCATTCTGGTTCTTCATTATCTATCTGATTCTGTCTATTATCTAGGTAATAACACCATAAAACTCAGGCATGTTAAAGCAATGAAATAAAGAGCATGTGAATACAGATCTGAGGGAACAGCTGAACTCTCTCTTAACCTCTGCCATAGACATTCTACTTAGGGAAAGCACTCTCTGCCTCAGTATTTCTATCTATAACTAGCAACATCAATAGCTTCCTTGAGGGATGTTAGAAGGCCTATATTGTTAATATTTATACAGCATTTTCAAATTTTTGTATGGAAAATGTTAAAAAATGCAAACAATACTATGCAGAATAAGAAAATTTTAGTTGTTCTATTATTGGCTATGGAAATCCAATTTTCATATAATTTTTACAGATTTTCATTTTTACTTGCTATTTTTCTCTTCTCTACTCTTCTTTTTCTCCCACCCCCATTTTGTACTTCATATTTTGAATTTCAATGTCTGTTGCTATGACAACACCATGATCTGACTAGTGCTGTGTTCAGACCCTTTTCAAATCTACGTTTTGCTGTTTAAAAACTGCACATTTTGTGCTTAAAGTGCCTGGAGATTTCCTTAGAATAACCTGATGGGGTTTTCCCAATCATAAGGTGAGGTGCAAATAAGCATTCCCAAATTCTAGCACCTGCCATTTCTTTTCTATCCCTGTATACATTACTTTGAAAAATTGCCTCTCTAGGGTATGATGGCTAAATAAAAGATGGTGGGATTAACAGAAGGAAGCATATTTGTCAGTCTTTCCATATATAAATATATATTTATATATATGCACATACATATATGTGTATACATATACAAATAGGCAGGTGCATGTACATGTTGCACATACACAGTTTGTTTCTCAGCTCTGTGCAAGCTGGAATCTGGCCCAGAACTTCTTAGAAAAGTAAAAGAAGCCAGTAAGTTCTGATTAATTTTAAAATAATGAATTTAAACTCAGCAGACATAAGGAAAGATTACTAATGATGTGAGGGAATTCAAGTCATGGTTTCATAGAATCATAGAATTGTCTTGGTTAGAAGGGACCTTTAAGATCATCAAGTCCAACCATTGACCTTACACTGCCAAAACCACCACTAAACCATGACCCTGAACACCACATCTATCCATCTTTTAAATACCTCCAGAGATGGCAATTCCACCACTTCCCTGGGCAGCCTATTCCAATGTTTGATAACCCAT